TGACTGAAAAGGCGCTGCCTTCCAACCCCCCCCCCCACAACTACACTTTCACGCAAAATTGTTTTACTTGCACGTTTGCACTGCGTTATTTGTTCGGGAAATGGAACTGTTATCACGAATTCATGTTCATGAGAATAACCTCAGTTAAGCATCAGAATCGAATGTAAGATTACGGTAGTTGCAGTCTGTACGCGATTGCATACTGCTACCGTAAAATAACCAGCACGGGTATTGGTACATTCACCCAATTCTGAATGACGCGTCAAAGCGCGTGGCTAAGTTCATGATTATCTAAACGACTCTGGCGCCCATCATTGGGGCACAAGTTTTAAGTATATTGGATAAGTAGTGATGCTACTTACCTACCATACTTTGATCGCATCTAAAAATATAGGAGGCTTTCCGGCGCGTGTCGCGTGCGTGTTTCTTGGCCAAACATGGTTGATATTCCGCGGTTAGACGTGTTTTACTATTGTTTCCTTCAATATTACATCTGTAACACGTTTTCTGGGTGCTGAGCGTCTGATTGTTATTCCCTGATCTTGTGTTGAAGGTGTTGTAAGGTTGACTCGCTTAGAAGTTTGATTATTCTCCTAAGTTCTTCACTCTTATAGACACCTGCAGCAGTCGAGTGCTCTCTTTGTAAGGCACAAATGTTCTTCATCGTTTTACACCGACGTCGTGAAAGGATGTTTCTGACACTCGTATGAGGTAGAGTTTTTAATAGCTACATCTCTTGCATGTGAGCTTCGAATTTATTATTTAGTACATCAGTAAAAGTATATTTTTATTTCGTCGACGTCATAATAATAGCGAATCATTAGATGTGTGATTTGACTAAAGGTCTTAAGCAGTTTGGCTTGCGCCGTCCTTGCCCGCATCTCGCTTCTTTCGTTGCTCCGCTCGCTGGAAATAGTTGACTGTTTTTGCAGTGACGTGAATTTGTTCTGAGGTTCACCTTTTCTTACCGTGAGCAGTTTTGCCTTCGTAAGCTTGGATTTCCCACCCAGCCTGGACCATTCTGGGCTGGCAGTCATCCGTAGCTCGTTCGTGAGGACGGCGACAGTAATTTTCGAAGTCCTTCGAGGAGATCGTGGATTTTGTTGAACTTAACCATGGCATCTTCAGTATCAGTGTTGACGAGAGCATTGAGGTTGTCAGAAAGCACGGTATATGAGTGAAGAGACGGTTTTATAACCATGCAAGATACCAGTTGAGCCATTTACAATTTGGATTTGGTTCCTCAATGCTTTGCTCAACTCCATTGGCTCCTGGGTATGTACAATTGGGTCTGCAGCAGCTAGCTGAAGGTTGCACTCAACTTCTTGCGCTGGCGTTCTTGAGTCAGCTTCTTCATCCCTAACTAGTGAAGACGTAGTTGCTGTGTTCTCAGTTATCTTAATGGCATGCCTATGAAAAGAGGATACGCCTGCTCTATTATCGAGGCACGTGCATGTCCATGTATATGGACACAGGCCGCATTGAGGGCAGTGGACGTTACCTGCAGGTCCTGGCTTACATTCACAGTTGCCAAAACTCTCGACTAGATAAGTCTTCTCTAAAGCCTTCCCCTGCACCTCCCACTTCCCCCTTACGATGCTTCTGGTCTTTTCTGGCCTCCCTTCTTAATGCGTTAGAGCAGATCGATGGCATATCAATGCCTGATGAGTCCCAAAAGATGCTGTAGCCAGCCATCGGCGATCCTAAAGTGAAAACATTACAGAACGAATAGTATATAAGATGTACTTTGATATCGTATGAATCTGCGAGATCTTCGACAGCTCTTATCAATTGCTCGACCAAGCAATTAACTCTGGAGTTGGCATTCCTGTGGATCTCATTTTTCAAACGCAGATGCCAGTGTTCGCTCAACATAGTAGTGTCCATCACTGCTCCACGACCGGCGAATGAAGCCCAGCTTTGTATTCTGCTTGAATAAGACGGAGTAAGCATTGAAGGAATACTACGAATATCTAACTTCCTAAATAACTTGATCTCGAATGCTCTGCCATTTCTCGTTGACCTTCGACATCTAAGAGCACCAGAGCTTCTCCCAATTTCAAATGAAATTGCTGCAGCTGCCCAATCCGCAGTAGTTCATGGAGGTCATTCTGCACGCGATGGCGTGCGCGAGCCTAAATGATTGCCTGTTTCTTGCATTTCTGCTTACCTCGACCAACGAACCTCTACCAACTCTTTCACTTTTCTTTCCCATGTCTTGCTTATATGCCACACGCAGTAGCGCAGTACGGCTTTCGATCCAGGGAATACAGCTCTGAACCCTTTTATTAAGCAAGGGGCTTCAACAGTGATAATCTGAGCGGGATTGAAACTAGGAAAAACTTCCCTAACTTGCCCGAACAGCTTCTCCACGCCACTAGTGGTCATGGTGTCGCTATGAAGGAAAGCTAGAAACACAAATTCTGATTATTATTAGTAATCAACTTCCTATTATTTGACCTGCTGGCAGCCCTCGACCACGTTCATCTGCGTCTACAACAGTAGCCAAATTCGAGCTGTATCTTGTGGCAGCGTGAGTATCATCCTGTGTGTTTTCACACGAAGTGAAGTGAAGTGAAGAGGAACGAAGTCTCCTAGCTTCCAGATTTGGAAATCCTTCATCTAGCTACTGAAGTATTATGGAGTGGATAGTTCTTTGATGTGTATATCTGTGAGCGAAATTCACAATAAAATTATAAATTTCGATCAGATCAGATTCTATGGATTCCCAATTATGTTTTTATGGAAAATTACGCGTATAGTTTGGAAAATAGGTTAAATGCAGAAGGTATTTTCGGTAAAAACCCTTCGTGAGCAAAAAGTTTTTTGCCCATGAAGCCTAACCCCTTTCCTCCCTCAGTTGGCTGCGAATGGATAGATGAGTCGTCCATAGTATAGGGATGTAGCACGACGGTAAATAGTCAGAAGTTTGGTGTATAAGAATTAGGTGACATTTCCGAATGTGAACGATCTGTTGCCGCTTTGTGGGTATTGATCTCTTGACACTAATAGCTGATCGTGGAATTGTTTCCATTCTAACCTCATGCGTCGTGGGAGGCGAGTTGCGATTTTCAGTCTCTGGCGTCATAAACTGATTGGATGTTGATTATTGGACCGATATGAACAGCAACGATTGGGTTTCTATTTTATATCACTTCCTAGCCAAGCTTACATGGCATTTCACGTAAATCCTCACGTGCCTACGTGACTTTCGGGAGGACACACAAACGGGCATACAAACAGACACGCAAAGATAGCACTCTATATATAGAGCACTCTGTAAATTCATAGGGCAGCATGTTGCTCTTCCCATCTAATCGAACAGTTCTACCTTGAGAACTGCATCCAGCTAGTTAAATTCATGACTTTATACGTTAAATAGATTACATGGCCGATGTTTTCGCATTGATCACTTTGTGGAATGGTGGAAGATGCCGCCAAAAAGCAAGGAACACGCCTCCTGCCATATTTGCGAGGCAAGAACTCCGCAGAAACCTCTACATGCATATGATCGACGTGTACAAATACACGCAAGTTGAAATAAATAAAATGAAGGGCGACTACAGGAAGGAGAGCCAGTCGCGTGCCAGTCTCCTGTCCTGAAAAAGGAAAGGTGGAAAAAGTGACTGACAGTCTCCTGTCCTGCCTGTGACGACAGATTTGTCAACCATGAACACCTCGCGAACCAGTGCTACGAAAAACACTTTGATGAGGGCGTGAATGGTGTAGAGGAAGGCGCGAACGGTGTAGAGCAAAACTATACCGTTTACACCCTGACATTCGAGACTAGGAATGAGTTCGAGGTTTGCTTTTATTGCATTGAATCCAACATCATTGAGAATCAAATTTTCTTAGGTGCTTCCTACGCGAGCAGTGTGAGGAGACTACAAGTTCGCTGTATCAGCTAGCTCTTAGAGCGAAGTCGAATAGCCTGAGGTGAAGTGAAATTTCTCGTTGAAAAGCTCCTAATTTTTAAAGGCCATTATCTGCAGATGTAATAGATCCGGATTATTTCAGTGTGAGCACAGTACGTACAAGGGTGAGCAAGAAGGAAGTTTTACCTTGTTCTTGCTTCACCAGTCACGCTGTAAATGATGACGGCAATATACAGATGAAAGGGTGTATCGGACACATAGGGTCGATGTCGAGCCTGCTCTTTAACCCCTAACGGAAAAACAGAAGCAGCATATGGACGCTTACTAGAAGGTGTTTCAGACTTATAAAAGAACTGTTGAATCTGACAGCTGCATAGTAGAAATTCAGATCACTCTTCGAAATATGCTTTCGTCGGGTGAGAAACGACTGCGCACCAAAACTTTCGCGGCCTCACTTTGTTACTAAAGCAGATCTTTGGAATATAATAGAAAAACATGGAAAGAGACCTGGATTCCCCAACAACAACGATTTGACATCTCTGCAAATACGAGCGGATGAAAACAATGCCGATGATGGGATCAACTCCTAGAGATGGCAGAAGACTCAAGCGGGAAAAGGTTCACTTCGTGTGGAAACACACAGGATGAGCCACAAGATACAGCTCGAATTTGGCTACTGTTGTAGACGCAGATGAACGTGATCGAGGGCTGCCAGCAGGTCAAATAATAGGAAGTTGATTACTAATAATAATCAGAATTTGTGTTTCTAGCTTTCCTTCATAGCGACACCATGACCACTACTGGCGTGGAGAAGCTGTTCGGGCAAGTTAGGGAAGTTTTTCCTAGTTTCAATCCCGCTCAGATTATCACTGATGAAGCCCCTTGCTTAATAAAAGGGTTCAGAGCTGTATTCCCTGGATCGAAAGCCGTACTGCGCTACTGCGTGTGGCATATAAGCAAGACATGGGAAAGAAAAGTGAAAGAGTTGGTAGAGGTTCGTTGGTCAAGGTAAGCAGAAATGCAAGAAAACAGGCAATCATTTAGGCTCGCGCACGCCATCGCGTGCAGAATGACCTCCATGAACTACTGCGGATTGGGCAACTGTGAATGTAAGCCAGGACCTGCAGGTAACGTCCATTGCCCTCAATGCGGCCTGTGTCCATATACATGGACATGCACGTGCCTCGATAATAGAGCAGGCGTATCCTCTTTTCATAGGCATGCCATTAAGATAACTGAGAACACAGCAACTACGTCTTCACTAGTTAGGGATGAAGAAGCTGACTCAAGAACGCCAGCGCAAGAAGTTGAGTGCAACCTTCAGCTAGCTGCTGCAGACCCAATTGTACATACCCAGGAGCCAATGGAGTTGAGCAAAGCATTGAGGAACCAAATCCAAATTGTAAATGGCTCAACTGGTATCTTGCATGGTTATAAAACCGTCTCTTCACTCATATACCGTGCTTTCTGACAACCTCAATGCTCTCGTCAACACTGATACTGAAGATGCCATGGTTAAGTTCAACAAAATCCACGATCTCCTCGAAGGACTTCGAAAATTACTGTCGCCGTCCTCACGAACGAGCTACGGATGACTGCCAGCCCAGAATGGTCCAGGCTGGGTGGGAAATCCAAGCTTACGAAGGCAAAACTGCTCACGGTAAGAAAAGGTGAACCTCAGAACAAATTCACGTCACTGCAAAAACAGTCAACTATTTCCAGCGAGCGGAGCAACGAAAGAAGCGAGATGCGGGCAAGGACGGCGCAAGCCAAACTGCTTAAGACCTTTAGTCAAATCACACATCTAATGATTCGCTATTATTATGACGTCGACGAAATAAAAATATACTTTTACTGATGTACTAAATAATAAATTCGAAGCTCACATGCAAGAGATGTAGCTATTAAAAACTCTACCTCATACGAGTGTCAGAAACATCCTTTCACGACGTCGGTGTAAAACGATGAAGAACATTTGTGCCTTACAAAGAGAGCACTCGACTGCTGCAGGTGTCTATAAGAGTGAAGAACTTAGGAGAATAATCAAACTTCTAAGCGAGTCAACCTTACAACACCTTCAACACAAGATCAGGGAATAACAATCNGGGGGTTGGAAGGCAACGCCTTTTCAGTCACTGACGGCTAGAGTGCAGAGGAGGAGGGAGCCGACTTCGCTTGTTCTTAGGAACATTTTATTTTAACATTAACATTCAACATTTTTTTTAAGACCCGTATGGTGCTTAGGAAGGTTTCCAAGGTTTTTTTTACGTTATTACTCTGTATTTTTTTACTTTATTTCAGAAAGGGGATGAGCTCCGGGGTGTGTGAACCAACTGGACGTCCAAATTTTATATAATCTCAGCTTTTTGCACGAGATAACCATCTCACCCACCCCGGAGCCCCTCCCCTGCTTAAAAATGGGTAAAAACATCCTTTTGAGAAAAATTCTAAGTACAAGTAAGGAAGACTAACCCTCCTTCTCAGCATTCTAGCCTTCAGTGAGTCGAAAGGATGCTAGCCCCCCCCCCTAACTACATTTTTTCCGCCAGAAGAATTTTGTTTTCACCTAACTTCAAGAAGGGGAGGGGCTCTGGGGTGGGTAAGATGGTTATCTCGTGCAAAAAGCTGAGATCCCTCCGGAACCTGAGAATTCGGCAGCGAGGCACTCTACTATCGCAGGCTGGTCTTTGTATTCTGCGAGGCTATTATGGTACACCTTATCAAGGATCAAAATTTCTCCCTTGGTATGGCCTCAAACTTCGAACTTCGTCAAGCCCATATCATAAAAATATGTTTTTTACCTTTCCGTTGACTTTCCGTTGGGGGCAAAACAATCATTAGATAGCACTTTATAAGGAACATAAAACGGTGTACAATTTAATTGCCAAGAGTTAAGCGGTAAGGGGAAAAACATAACTTTGTGATTTGGGCTTGACGAAGTTCGACGTTTTGGGCCATACCAAGGGAGAACTTTTGGTCTATGACAGGGTGTACCATAATAGCCTCGCAGTATACAGAGAGAAGTCTACGGTAGTAGAGTGCTTTGCTGCCGAATCCTCAGGTTCCGGAGAAAAATTCTCCAAACATTGGAAAAAAGTGTCAAAAAAATCGGATCCGTTATTTTGCCGCAAATTAATGTCATATTCTCAATGGAACCTGTGAAGAGGAGTGTTGAGTGCAGAGGCCGTAGATGCAGTTATCTACAGCCTCCAAACCAAAAAAGGAACGATGGAGGCTGAACAAAATCGCTAATCATTTTCACATTGTACTGAGTAAAGTCGAATACGTTACGCAATCCAAAGCAAGCTCTGTACAGATCATCTTCTGGGACCAATCAGCCCCTGCAAGCACTAAAGCGTGCACCCTATGTATATTTGATCACTTTCCGGATGGAACTAAAGTGCATGGCGCAACCCAAAATGAAGCAGTTTTAACACCTCATAGGATCATCTTGTAGAGCTCGACGAGCTGAGTTCAATGGTATCTGTATCTTTTCTCCATTACTCCATCTTGAAGCGGTCTATAGAGAAAAGACGAAAAAGACTCGAATTCGCGGTATTCGCGTGGACCTTTGAGTTCTTACGGCGAGTACTGTAGTTGACGAGCCTATCGTTGCTCCGAATACTCCATGTAATGAAGCGAGTCCCTCATACGCGATATCTCAACCAGATCTGAGCTTTGCAAGCCTTGGCGCCACTGCTGACATTGGCTGATCTTTTGATAGAATATCATTCTGATACCTGACGAGCCACGAACCAATCGCGTAACACACCGCTGGCAATAATGAGGCGTTGAATATTGCCGTGAGCTTGGCATGAGCTGACCTGGTCTGTTATGTTACTTGACGGATTGATTCGGAAGCTGTTCGTGCAGCCCATCTTCACCAATAGGTTCCGGAACAGTGCAGTTTGTCATGTCGAGCTCTATCACCAGATACACGGAAGACGAAACATTTTGTAGCACTTCTTCTAACTTTCCTGTTCCATATCGCACCCCTTGTTCGCATCAGTTGGAGATATTCATTTCCAAACCCATTCGCAGCCCCACTGCATTGAGTTCGTTAATCATCTCATCCATTTCGACTGTTTGTCGGATACCAAGGCCATATCATCAGCATAGGAGTGATTACTTACGTTTTATTATCATCAGCGAACGGAGATCCATTTACCATTAACGGTATATCCCCTTCTTCCCAATCAAGGTTTGGCATCGCAAATTGTAGCACAGCAGTGAGTAACTAATCCAACGAGGATTTTTGATTTCGTTCGAACACACGAATGAACGTTTATGTATTGGAGAGGCACTGTTCGAGCAAAAATTGTATGCAGAAGCGATTTCGGCTTGCACAAGAGAATTTGAGAGGCGTTTCCCTCTCCAGAATCGAGTGTCTTTTTATTATCCACGGCTCAATAGGCTGCGCATGAACGAAAAGTGGTCAAGCAAAATTTCCGTGAACTCAGTATACCACCGATAGAAGATTGGTGGGACGGTAGTTGGAGATGTCTTCCTGCTGACTTTTCTGAGGCACGAGAATTGTTTTTGATTCATTCCGTTGTGTGGAAACTTCCTCAACCCGAGGTAGTAATTGAAGTGCTAACATGATGAGTAACTCCAGCAAGAAGCAAACCAACTAAGATTCTATCCAGATTTGGTGTGTTGCACTTTGATGTTTTTTATTGTCATGCCACCTCCAATTCCAGGATAGCAGAGAGCTCTTTATGCGGCAGCATCAAGGACTTTTCTATTACAATGGTGGGAGAACGGAAAAGTTCGGTGTGGGAGTCTTTGCAGATACTCTTCTCAGAACTTTTAGATATTGCGCTATTCCTTCTTGTTCTATCTTGTTTACGGCCACTTCAAGCAACTTAGTTCTTCTATGGTCCAAGGCGACTTCTTGCCATCGACACGGCATGATTTGTTGACCAGGGGCCTTTCTTAAAGTGAGTGGCGTTGGAATTCTGTTCAGTCACTTTTTTTTCAAGGATACAACGGCGGGAAAATTCATTTTAGGAATGTGGCTGAATGCGAATGACAGGACATGTTTGCAAATTCGACTGGGCATCTAGTAGGTATTCGTGGCCTTCTGTGTTATCATCTGGAAGACTCCAATTGTGAGCTCCGCTAACAGATTCGAATGGCACTGTATAAAGGAGGGGGTCTTAAAATGTGCGAAACTATGCGTGAGCGCTGAAATATACGTCTATTAACCCTTATTTTTTGCACGCAGTAAACAATCGCTGGCATCGAAAGTTGGCAACACGGATACATTGAGTAGACTCCAGCGTTAAGAGTGAGAACATATTTACAACATACATTTGGCCGGTTGGACTCTCCCTAGTCATCGTCGCTTGGCTGGCTTTTGAGACATGGAGTTTCCTTGGCACGCATATGATCGTACAAAAGAAGTTCTCCACTTTTATGTGGCCAAAGCATAGAGGTCCAAGCCTTCAATCCCCAGTGCAAATCGTGTCCACTGCATAGAGTCGCCAACAACAAATTTATAGTAGCATTCTATTCTTAAATTGTGTCCTCCAAGATTTGTGGAATGCCTTGAACTCTTCATTTGCGAATTCACTACAGTGGGTATTGTCTAATTGATCGTCGATTTTCATGCCGTTCACCTTGGTGAGCAGCTCGCAGTGACCTTTTTTTCTGATGGAATCCGTGTTGCTCTTCGTCTCTTGTGATGTCATATCGTATTTGAGCAGCAGGCTATTAAGGAGGAATGTTCGAAACAAGTTTTGATGCTATTGTGTACGAAATTATACGAGCAGACAAAAAACACTTCTTATGTCACGAATGGGATGGTTTCAGCGTCCCGGTTTCGATGACGCCCTGTTTTCTTCGCGAGGTCATGTCGCCTCACATTAGTGGCTGAGTGTAGGGAAGTATATCTGATGTGCCCAGAATTGGGGCGCAAATATGGCTTATTGAGCAGTTTGTTTGGCCTTGGACACCCCTTTATTTCTTGGCAGGGATATGTCGCGCACTGCTCAGCCATTTGTACTGTTAGCAACCTTTCGTTGTGGTGTGCACCCTACCGC